GGAGGCGCCGCCGCCGCCACCGCCGCCGCAGCCACCGGCGTAAGTGGGCCGAGGGGCTGGGGACCGTAAGCCGGACCGGGGGCTGAGTGGGTCCGGGAAGGAGACAAGGAGGGGCGTGCGCCGACCCTGGCTGGCTGCCCGGAGGAGGCGGCCTCGGCGCCCCGCAGGCTCGGCCCGCCGGTGGAGGGTACAACTGCCCCTCTGTTTATCGCGCACACAGCGACGTGGGACGGGGCGTCCAGAGGTGGCTGCTTCCTGGAGGCTCTGTCCTCTCCCGCCGCCCTTGAATTCCGGCTGCGCTTAGACTTAGGCGACTTGTCTGCAGGATGGGGGGCAAGGGGGGGCTGTTGAGCTGCTCCCGAGGGTCAAGTGAGGTTAGACCTGCTGGTGGGCATAGGGGTCTTCTTCAGAGCTGTCATGAAGCATTAGCCAGTTGCACTTCATGCACATCCTGTGTGCCCAGCCGGTGCCGAGGACACTGGACTCTGATGGGGAATGGGAAGGGTGGCCAGTGACAGAGGAGCTCCTGGTCCCAACGAGGGCAAAGGGAACCTGGTTCTTAGGAGAGTTACAGGCAGAGAAATCCTATTCTGTGGGGACCCTTGGGCAGAGGCGAGTATGGTGCCAGGGGGGGTCCTGGCAGAGGAAGCTGTGTAGGTTCAACCATGGCATCAGGTGTGTGACTGGACCTCATGCTAGGAGCAAGTGTGGAGCAGTTTTGCTGCACTCCGAGGAGGCTCCCTGTATGTGAGGGAGAAGAGTTAGCGGGGAGGGGGGGGTTTGGTCCTTGAAGGAAGCCAGGTATGGGCTGTCAGGGAGAAGGGTGGCCTCCTAGGTGCCCTGGCCCTGCCTACGGTTTCAGGGGTGGGTGAGCAGCTCCCTGCAGAGTGCACCTGACCTGGCACTGCCCACCTGCAGCCCGGAGGCAGAGCGCGCACGTCCTCGGCAGGCCCGGCCCACGGCCCCAATGGAGGGTGCAATGCAGCTGCTGAGCCGTGAGGGCCACACTGTGTCCCACAACTCCAAACGGCACTACCACGACGCCTTCGTGGCCATGAGCCGCATGCGGCAGCGTGGCCTCCTGTGTGACATCGTCCTGCACGTGGCGGCCAAGGAGATCCGAGCACACAAGGTGGTGCTGGCCTCCTGCAGCCCCTACTTCCACGCCATGTTCACAAGCAAGTACCACCACATCCAGTCTGGGCACTCGGGGGGCTCCACAGATCTCCCAGGGCAGGGACCGGCCTGACCTGCTGTCCCCACAGATGAGATGAGTGAGAGCCGCCAGACGCACGTGACACTGCATGACATTGACCCTCAGGCCCTGGACCAGCTGGTGCAGTTTGCATACACGGCTGAGATTGTGGTGGGCGAAGGCAACGTGCAGGTGAGGCCGCCTCATCTCGCGTCGCACGCCTCTACTGGGCCCCTGTGCCTCAGCTCCCCGTGTTTCCTTGTGCCTCTCCCTCGGTTCCTCATGTCCTGGTTCCCTGTCCCTGCTCCCCTGGCTCTCTCTGTCTCATCTCACCCCACAGACTCTGCTCCCAGCTGCCAGCCTCCTGCAGCTGAATGGCGTCCGTGACGCCTGCTGCAAGTTCCTGCTGAGTCAGCTCGACCCCTCCAACTGTCTGGGCATCCGGGGCTTTGCTGACACGCATTCATGCAGTGACCTGCTCAAGGCAGCCCACAGGTACGTGCTGCAGCACTTCGTGGATGTGGCCAAGACTGA